AAACTTAAAATGTCTGAAAAATATATATTATCTTTCATAAGATTTTCACTAAGTTGTAGTCCAACAGAAAAAAAAATCTTAACTAAGAAAGCACTATCACTATACTGGTGACTAGTACATTGACCCATTAATNATATTAAATAGAATTTGATTTCTTGAGTTCTATTTTAAATATAACTCTGATATAGTTTAAAGAAATTTAGCATAGTTTTATTGCAGGATCTCCTTTCACAGTAATTTTTTTAACTCCAAAATTTGGAATAAAAGTAGTATTGTCTGCTTGTATAATTATTATTAACTAGAAATTAATTTTGAATTTAAAATAATTTTACTTAACCACAATTATAGTCCAAAAAAAACTAGGTTTATACTTATTAAAATAATATTTACAAAAAATTTATTAAGTCATACTGCAGAATCCTATATAATAATGAATTAAAACAGCTATAGGCCTAATCTGCATAAAATTTAGAAATTAAACTATTTTTCATAACACTTAGTAGTATAATAAAAAAAATAAATAAAAAAAATCAAATCAATCACTCACATTTTTAAAACAAAACAATCTTTAAAAAAATCATCACAAAAGCATAAATCAAAACAAAAGCATTAAAATAATTTAATCAGCTTTATCATTATTACATTATATGATAAAATTTATGATGAAATAATTTTAGTCACAAGATATTTATGTAATAAAGATTCATATTTTCTATAATATATGTGATTTCATAAATTTGAAAATATTTGTAGAAATACAAATCATTTTTGTGTTAGTTTTTCATTGAATACTAAAATAATTTTTTGCCTTTTTTAAAGTAGTATTTTTATATATGAAATTTTTTAAAACCCAGTCAAATTTATTAATTATTATGTGTTAAGGAATACTAAACTAAAGCAAGTGTCGATATCACAAACATTTTAAATATTTTAAAATAAAAATTAGAAAAAGTATCTGTTACTTTTAAATTTGAAAAATAATAATTTTTGAAATTATGTAATATATCATCTATTATTTAATAAAAATAAAATTTTTGCATTTATATATAATTAAATAAATCTGTACATAAGCATTTAATCTCAGTGAGGAAATATTAAATTAAAAAAAATAAAAAAACACCACTTAAGATTTTTGAAATATCAGTTTCAATAAAAAATTAACTCACTAATCACTAAATGTTTAAACAAGAAACTAAATTCAAACATACAATACATATTAAACAGAGCAAACTGAACTTAAAGCAAAACATAGAACTGAATATTAAAACAATATGCTCTAACATCTTCAAGTATTATTACAGCTAACTAATCAACCTAAAACATATATAAAATAAATATTTATTTAAGATGGCGTAACACTTCAAATTGTTACCTTTAAAATTTCCTGTATTTGTTATATATGTTCGACATTTAATATTGTAAGATACACTAAAATAATATACTCCCAATTCTGTTTTTATATAGTTTTTTTTACATGAACTGAAAAACAGAATTTTTGATTTAACATGATCTGGAAAAGAAAGTCAATTCCTTTTTACACAATTTGTTTTGATCTAAAACATTTCAATAACTGTCTTTAAAAATCCCTATTTGATTTTAATTTGAAGGGAAAAAAACACTCACTTCCTCTTCTAGAAATATAGTACTATTTTAAATAACTTATTTGAAGGTGTTTAGTGACAGTGTCATTCCAACTTTATCTTGTGAGTGAAATAGTTAGGAAACATTTAATTCAAAGTTTGATTTAAAGTTACAACAATTGTCCTTCCTTTGATTTATTTATTATTTAAAATTGAAATGTTTTGTTTAAACACATCCTATTAAATTAACTGCTTTATTGCATTATTTCTTACTGCAATTGAAACCAATCTTACATTTTCCAATGAACAATATTTTTTCTTGAATTTTTTCCATAGATTTTTAGGAACTTATCTACCATGTAAAAATGGAACTTTGTATACTGTTTCAAAAGCCATAATATAAAAATGCATCTGACATTTGAATGACAACTCCAGTTAATGCACAAGGTATGTAAGAAAACAAATTTTGAAATCTATAATAATTACTATTCAATATGATTAATTTTATAATTAAAAACATATTTACAAACAATTTTATTCACTTCATAATTATTATGAAAAAAAGTTATTTACATTACTTGAGAATGTAAGGTCATAAAATAAAAATTTAATCCATCATTAGACATGCATTTATGTATTTTTTTTTTACCAATATCACTAAACCTTTATAAATATAAACAAATGTATTTATTAATATTCAGAATATTTTAAAATTTATAACTAAATTTATTTAAAATACATGTACTTAAATATCAATTTAAAATAAATCCAATATTATTTCAAAAATTCTGTCAGTTTACATTAGAATAAAGAATTGCTTTAAAAAGAGGCAGAATACTAACCAATCGAAGATCTGGAACTGACCGACTTAAAGTCCATTCTTGGCTGTTGACAAAGGAATCTGAAATCAATAAAATTAAAATTTATGTACGAGAGCAAAAGAATAAAAAAATTTTAAATTTGATCATTCTTATATTTTTTATTATTTCTTTTAATAATAAATTTTTAATTATTTGTTATGAAATTTTGACTTTAGTTTGCTAGTAATATCAGTAAATCAGTTTGAAATTTTTTAATTTAAAAAAATTTTTTTTAAAAAGCATTTAATTTTTTATCGAATGTTTTGACCTGAAGCAGATCCCAATTAGGATCAAAAGTGCTTGTCATAGCATATTTATATTAAAATTATTGCTGGTTTAATTTTGAAGGTTTTGTTTGTGTTATTTAAAAAAATTTATCTTATAAAACATTAAGATACTAAAAAATATTAAAAATTATTACAAATTCTAAAATAAATTCATTTTAGATGAGAAAATCTTTGTTGGATGAATAGCAAAATAACAGACTATTATTTTAATGGCCATTGTCATGTGAATGTAGGTATTTTACACCCAATAAAGTCCAGGCACCACCTTTCACAGAGGATCCCACCCATGTTTCATACTGATAAGTCAACTTTTATTCAGTTAATTTATTAGCAAATGTTATAGTTTATTAATGGAAATTCCTATTAACAATTCTATGAGGAAACAATTTTATAAACTTTCTTTTTCTAAGATAAAATTACTTTAAAATTGAAAACACTTCCCTTTTGAATCATTCTGACTTAAAAATGTTTGTACACTTTAATATTTAATTGAAAAATTCAAATAACATTTCTACTTAAATTATATTTATTTTTTAATAAATAACAAAACATCTTGATGGCTAAATTTATGAATAAAAAAAACTTTGTTAAGAGCTGAGAAATTAAACTGTTTAATTTATTTTGTTAATTTATTACTATTCAACTTAATTCACATTTATTTACTTAATTTTTAAATAGCAATAAAAAAAATTATATTAATTAACACATTTTATAAAAAATCTCAATATAGATTAACACAAATATCAAAAAATAATTACAAATTCAAATTACATTACATAAAATTACTATTTGTCCTTCCAGGCTTAGCTCACTTGCTCAAAAACTTCATAAAGTTATCAATTCCCAGTGAGTGCCACCATTCTATTTTTGTTTTTCAAATCAACATAGATTTCCTTGAATATGTGAAAAAAATTCTGATTAATAGAATTATAAAAGAGCGAAATATTAAATTAAAAAAAATAAAAAAACACCACTTAAGATTTTTGAAATATCAGTTTCAATAAAAAATTAACTCACTAATCACTAAATGTTTAAACAAGAAACTAAATTCAAACATACAATACATATTAAACAGAGCAAACTGAACTTAAAGCAAAACATAGAACTGAATATTAAAACAATATGCTCTAACATCTTCAAGTATTATTACAGCTAACTAATCAACCTAAAACATATATAAAATAAATATTTATTTAAGATGGCGTAACACTTCAAATTGTTACCTTTAAAATTTCCTGTATTTGTTATATATGTTCGACATTTAATATTGTAAGATACACTAAAATAATATACTCCCAATTCTGTTTTTATATAGTTTTTTTTACATGAACTGAAAAACAGAATTTTTGATTTAACATGATCTGGAAAAGAAAGTCAATTCCTTTTTACACAATTTGTTTTGATCTAAAACATTTCAATAACTGTCTTTAAAAATCCCTATTTGATTTTAATTTGAAGGGAAAAAAACACTCACTTCCTCTTCTAGAAATATAGTACTATTTTAAATAACTTATTTGAAGGTGTTTAGTGACAGTGTCATTCCAACTTTATCTTGTGAGTGAAATAGTTAGGAAACATTTAATTCAAAGTTTGATTTAAAGTTACAACAATTGTCCTTCCTTTGATTTATTTATTATTTAAAATTGAAATGTTTTGTTTAAACACATCCTATTAAATTAACTGCTTTATTGCATTATTTCTTACTGCAATTGAAACCAATCTTACATTTTCCAATGAACAATATTTTTTCTTGAATTTTTTCCATAGATTTTTAGGAACTTATCTACCATGTAAAAATGGAACTTTGTATACTGTTTCAAAAGCCATAATATAAAAATGCATCTGACATTTGAATGACAACTCCAGTTAATGCACATGGTATGTAAGAAAACAAATTTTGAAATCTATAATAATTACTATTCAATATGATTAATTTTATAATTAAAAACATATTTACAAACAATTTTATTCACTTCATAATTATTATGAAAAAAAGTTATTTACATTACTTGAGAATGTAAGGTCATAAAATAAAAATTTAATCCATCATTAGACATGCATTTATGTATTTTTTTTTTACCAATATCACTAAACCTTTATAAATATAAACAAATGTATTTATTAATATTCAGAATATTTTAAAATTTATAACTAAATTTATTTAAAATACATGTACTTAAATATCAATTTAAAATAAATCCAATATTATTTCAAAAATTCTGTCAGTTTACATTAGAATAAAGAATTGCTTTAAAAAGAGGCAGAATACTAACCAATCGAAGATCTGGAACTGACCGACTTAAAGTCCATTCTTGGCTGTTGACAAAGGAATCTGAAATCAATAAAATTAAAATTTATGTACGAGAGCAAAAGAATAAAAAAATTTTAAATTTGATCATTCTTATATTTTTTATTATTTCTTTTAATAATAAATTTTTAATTATTTGTTATGAAATTTTGACTTTAGTTTGCTAGTAATATCAGTAAATCAGTTTGAAATTTTTTAATTTAAAAAAATTTTTTTTAAAAAGCATTTAATTTTTTATCGAATGTTTTGACCTGAAGCAGATCCCAATTAGGGTCAAAAGTGCTTGTCATAGCATATTTATATTAAAATTATTGCTGGTTTAATTTTGAAGGTTTTGTTTGTGTTATTTAAAAAAATTTATCTTATAAAACATTAAGATACTAAAAAATATTAAAAATTATTACAAATTCTAAAATAAATTCATTTTAGATGAGAAAATCTTTGTTGGATGAATAGCAAAATAACAGACTATTATTTTAATGGCCATTGTCATGTGAATGTAGGTATTTTACACCCAATAAAGTCCAGGCACCACCTTTCACAGAGGATCCCACCCATGTTTCATACTGATAAGTCAACTTTTATTCAGTTAATTTATTAGCAAATGTTATAGTTTATTAATGGAAATTCCTATTAACAATTCTATGAGGAAACAATTTTATAAACTTTCTTTTTCTAAGATAAAATTACTTTAAAATTGAAAACACTTCCCTTTTGAATCATTCTGACTTAAAAATGTTTGTACACTTTAATATTTAATTGAAAAATTGAAATAACATTTCTACTTAAATTATATTTATTTTTTAATAAATAACAAAACATCTTGATGGCTAAATTTATGAATAAAAAAAACTTTGTTAAGAGCTGAGAAATTAAACTGTTTAATTTATTTTGTTAATTTATTACTATTCAACTTAATTCACATTTATTTACTTAATTTTTAAATAGCAATAAAAAAAATTATATTAATTAACACATTTTATAAAAAATCTCAATATAGATTAACACAAATATCAAAAAATAATTACAAATTCAAATTACATTACATAAAATTACTATTTGTCCTTCCAGGCTTAGCTCACTTGCTCAAAAACTTCATAAAGTTATCAATTCCCAGTGAGTGCCACCATTCTATTTTTGTTTTTCAAATCAACATAGATTTCCTTGAATATGTGAAAAAAATTCTAATTAATAGAATTATAAAAGAGCACAAACTTTGAAATAAGTTTGAATGTTACAGTTGTATTTGAAAAATATATTCAAGAACATTTACTATTCAAAAAAAAAAAAAAATCTGTTTCATTAAGTAATACTCAAAATAAATAAAATGTGAGGCCGAAAATGTTTTATAAATAAAAATAGGCAGTTCCTGAAAATTATACATGAGTAGACATAAAATGGGTAGAATACCCAGATATTTCACTCATTTCATTGACAAAAAAAGTTATGCATAAAGCTATTTCTAATAATTTGTAGTAACTGCATAAACAATTTCAGCATAAAGCNGAATTAATAAATTTTGAAAACATTATATCTTCAGAAAAATTATAAATCCTCTTTAGTCTATTCAGATATATAGATTTTGCTTATTATTAGAGCAGAGCACTTAGATGAATGAACTGATTTATATACAAAAAACCCTACTTTTCTTGCAGAAAAAGGAAGATCATTCAGTGTTCCAGAAATCAGTCAATATTTTTTAAAAAATAATAAAACTTGAAATGACATTCTAAAAACTCTCCAGGTGTGAAAATACATCATAATTAATGTTTGAAAGTAACTTGTTTCAGCTACTGAAATCTTAAATTATTATTATTAGTAACAAATTTCAACATTCCTCTCTCATTTCACTATTTAAAAAAAAAAAATACAACAGATATTAGTATTCATAAATTTCTTTCTTACATATGGGGGAAAATTACACTAAATATTATTTAGATAAGTCTTGGAAATCTAAAAATAATTTCAAGATAAATACTTTCATATACAGGATATTAGAAGTCAAAATTTTTTCAACTGACAATGAATTTCATATAAAAATTACACATTGCAAATGAAAATGAATTAGATGCAGAATTTGTTATTAAATATCAATTACATGCAATTTACATGTTACATTTACATGTTACAATTTACATGTTTGACAAATTACTATGAGTATTTCAATAAAAAAAAATTTTTAAACTTTGGAATAAAAAAAATTAAGTAGCTTGCTGATTAAATTTGATCAAAAACATTTTTGTTAACCTATCTTTAGTGATCAAGTCCCACCATTTTGATCAAGCAACAAATTGAAAGCAAAAAAAAAATTTTTTCAATCTGTCATTCACTTAATGAAAAGTAAACATTTCCATTAGTTGTTAAAAACCATTTTTATATTTTTAAAAAATAGAATTCATTATGCTTACAAGATCTAAACCTGACAAACTTAAAATGTCTGAAAAATATATATTATCTTTCATAAGATTTTCACTAAGTTGTAGTCCAACAGAAAAAAAAATCTTAACTAAGAAAGCACTATCACTATACTGGTGACTAGTACATTGACCCATTAATAACTAGTACAATAGTGTAACCTCTTCAACAATAATATAAAAACTAGTATAACTTAAAAAATACAAAAAATTATTAATCTAATTCTAAACTAGAGGAAACTAATACTGTGATGAAAAAATAAAATTTTATTTTTATTTATATTAATAATGAAATATAAGAAAGTGATAAATCATATTACAAACCACAGATTCTAGTTTATATGATACAAAGACAAGTACAGCTGATTAAATGAATAGAGAGATTTAAAATATCTTTAAATAATTATTTTATATTTCTTTTATATATATATAAAAGAAATATTGCTCGCGAAAATTATTTGCAAAGCATGGCAATTTTACATACACAAATACCAAACTAAGGAATTCAAAACATTTTTTAAGTATTAACATTTATATTATAATTATTATAACAAGTTTTTTTTTAAATAAATTTCACAATAAAATCATAATAAAATTCAATGTGCTACTATATCATTTGAAATAGAATTTATACAATGGATTAAATGAATAGAATTTCTCATTCTCTTTTATTCTTTCATCACTACATACGAAACATCTTCATATAATTTTAAATGGCAAATTCATAAAAGGTATTAAAAATTAATTTATAAATATGAAATGAAATATAAATGTATGGTTTATTTTGCAAAAAAAAAGTGATTATTAAACTGAGTCATGTCAAGTTTCAACACACTAACTAATCAATAAATATGTAACAGGCGAAAGCCTATTACGACAAATAAAGATTATTATTATTATGTTGGGTTTAGTGGGTAATACTCGGTTTAAACCGGTGGCTGTGTACTATGCCGGACCAGAGTCAAGGCATAGCAACAAAAACAAAACTAAAATTAAATAAGTGTGTCAGTGTCTGTATTAAGGAATTTCCTAACAATATGGCATGTATTCAATATAGTGGCCTTCTGTAGTGTGATGTATGTATTTCTACTCAATTGTAATGTTCCCAGGCTTTTGTGTAGCGTGTGTGGTATCACACCTGTACAGGAGAGAAC